AGGAAGAGGGGACAAAGCTGAAGCCTTTAACTGCAGACTGTCTCATTGCAAGGACTGTCACTGTGCTGGAGAGGCTCATAGATATTTTTCAGGAGAAGGGGCCCAATGGAATTCTTCCCCGTTACTACAAGTACTGGGTACACAGGTAAGAATAATGTTCTTCTCAGACTTTCTTTTAAGCAAGTTGGTAGAAGAACTGCTGGATATTTTGTCATTTTCTACTTTTTCTACTAAATTTCCTTTAATACAAGTAAATTAATTAAAATGTACTCCCAAGCAGGATGTACATTTTTAAGGGAGAATAAAAGTAGCACCCCAAAAATCAACAGACTAGCATGAGTTCAAGAATGCTCCCAGGTATTTTACTTGTATCATCTCCAAACAAAGGAGTTGAAAATTATTTGTTTTGAGATTGATGAAGCTGCTGTACTTCTACAAAAAAAAATAGACTGTTTGGATTAACTCCAACTCTGTTCATTCCACAAAAGGAAATTAAAACAGATAGAAAATGCTGCTGAAAATCACTTTCTGTAAAGAACCAGTGAAGTGGGAAATAAAAATAATCTGCTGGAGGGTGAAGCCTTCCCTGTGAGGGTGGTGAGGCCCTGGCACAGGTTGCCCAGAGAAGCTGTGGCTGCCCCTGGATCCCTGGAAATGTCCAAGGCCAGGCTGGATGGAGCTCTGAGCAACCTGGTGTGGTGGAAGGTGTCCCTGCACATGGCAGGGGGTTTGGAATGGGATGATCTCTAAGATCCCAATCCATTCTGTGATTCATTCTGTGATTAGTCCTCTGAGGTGTTTTGAATTGTGCAGTGCCCACCATTCCTCACTGACAGCCTGGTTCTCCCTGTTCCCAGCGGGAAGCAGGTCCGTCTGCACAGCGAGGACGGGCCGACCGCCTGGATCGTCGGGATAGACGACTATGGATACCTGCAAGTCCACCAAGAAGGCAAAGGGATCGATTCTGTGCACCCAGATGGCAACTCCTTTGACATGCTGAGAAACCTCATAGTCCCAAAGCATTAACTGTCCCCCGAGCTCACAGCACCAGGGGAGACTCTTTAGTGTTTGGCACCGTCAGCTAAACCCGCTCAGAGGTGGGAAGGGGAGTTGGCAGCTTCATTTTTTTTTTCCCTTCTGATTTTCTGCTGTCTTTGGTTTTTGAAGTGGATAACTTCAACAGTTCAAAAAGAGGTGGTGATCTCATAGCTGAAGGCCTTTATTCTTTTGTATTAACTTTAAAACACACTGACGTTGCCGTTCTTTGTAAGTGTCTATTCTTTGTGAGGAGTCTGGTTGCAAAGGAACCCCTTGCAATGAACAGAACTTTCTCTTCACTTACACACTGTATTGGAGAAACTGAAGTGGCTGAATAGTTCCTTTTTGTGTCTCTCTGTTTTTATTGTACTTTAGCAAAGTGCAGGACAATATTTACTTTTTTTTTTACTCTGTTTTTTTAAACTACATTCTGGTTTATGTGTTGTCTGCACTAAAAACACCTGGGACGTCATACATTTCTGACTTACTGGGATTACCACTGTGCTTAACTTCAGGTCTAAGTGGAGATCCTTGCTGATTTGGTTCTTCTCCATGTGGGCCTGTGCAACAATTTACCAACCTGTGCTTTGGTCCCAGGTCTACAACTCTGGTGGCTGCCTTGAGTTTTTTGGAGAGTATTCCATCAGCACTTAAGAACTGTGGTTGGTTATCCAAATTCCTGGCACTCTGCTCTTCTTAGGCAATTGGATCCGAGTAAATCATCTCATGTGTCCTTTGAATCATAGTTTTCCAAGAGGATTTAGCCCCTGTAAGAAAAGCCCACTGGAGTAGTGTCTCACCAAGGTTGTTGTGGAATCCCAGTCAGGAGAGGGAACCTCTGATTACCTTAAAATTTGATAGTAGTTATATTGTGATCTCAGTGAAATTAAGTGAAGAAATGAGAGGTTCTCTGCTGTAAGGAACTACTCCAGTGAGAAAGAGAAAACACCCCATCCACCCGTGTCCGAATTCTCTTCCACAGCTTCCGTGGTCACCCCCTTTCCCAAAGCAGAGCGTCTGGGTTTGCTGCTAACCATCAAAAGCAGGAACTGACTTGAAAGTAGCTCATTTTGGGGGCTGCCTGCCCAGTTCCAGGTGGGTTGCAACACCTTGTTCATGACTGGGAAGCATCCTGGAGCATCCCTGTGGGAGTTTCCGTGCGACGGCGGCGGCTCGGCGGGTTTTTCTCCCGGGCCTTCACACCAAGACTTGGCCACCACAGCTCTTCAGACAACTCTGTGCAAAATAAGTTTGTCCTGGGTGTGATGTTTCCTCAAGTCTCATTTCCTCAAGTAGGCAGCACTGCTTGTTCCATTCCCTCGTCCCTGCTGGAGGTGGATCAGCCAAATTGGTTTCCACAAAGGAAATTACGGCCTACACGCCAGAAACGGGGGTTTGGGGTTAAAGTTCGCCTCATAAACAACCTGAACATGTTAGGAGATTGTTTCAGTTACAAAGCCAAGAAGTCTTAAAATCAGGAAACTGGTCTGTAATGGTAGTTTTGACCAATCCTCACATATTGCAGCAAGTGCAAGAAATTAAGTTGTCCCTGTTACATTTAGGATTTTATGCACCACATCACAGTAGATTTGTCTTGTGTCCCTGCTGGTTTGTTTTCCCCCATGATCCAGATCATGTGAGGCTGCACACCAGTATTAGATGGAACTGTCCAGTGGAGTGTAGACAGCTGTTAATTGGCATAATTAAAATGGTACACACCAACACCTGATTTTGCTTTTTCCCACCAGAGGCTTTCGAAACTGCTTTGGGCTGAGAATTTTCTGGCAGCTACCTTTATTTCAGAATTAAATATTGATGCATGTTGTAATCATGTGAAATTCGAGTCTGACTTAATACAGTTTAAATAAAAAAGAAGAAACTACATATATGTACATACATAAAAAGTGTGTGTGTGTGCACATGCACACTCACATCCTGTGCATCTTCACTCATTTTCTACCTTTTCCTTCAAGCAGCTTGTGAGCAATGTCAGCTGGGGAAAGCAGAGCTCTGGTACTGGTTTTCCAACCACACAGGTTTACAAAACTTTACCTTAATCCAATATTTGTAGCTAAAACACTGTCTCTGCTTTGGCTTTGACGCTGCAGGATGTGCCTGTGGGAAGCACCTTGGATTTTACTCGTATTCCAGGGAGACTGAGAAGTGCCTGTAGAGATTTAACAACCAGGTCATGCTTGCATGGCTTCCTTAAAACTCGTTCTCCCTTCACAAGGGACAAAGAATGACAGGGGAAAAGGATAAAACATGCTCCTGTGTGGAGGGAAGAATGGACTTGCAAACCTTCAGTGGCTGAGGGATTTTTTAAGAGTAAAATGCTGCAGCATTTCCTAGTTGCTGTTGTTCCTTTCTGGATTCCTTTCTGACAGCCTTAATGGTGAGCTGGTTCTATTCTCACTTTGATTTTTAAGGTTATTCCAAAAATTTTTGCATTAGGAAGACACTTAGCATTGAACTTCCTTTCCACAAGCAAGATCTTTGAGTCTGGATGTGCCAGAGCACAGATTGGGTGCTCTGGGAATATCACTTGGCCTTTTTAGTGGCCTCTTCTGGTGTCTAAAACTTACCTGTGGTTCTTGAGGAAACTACCTGGACTTTGGATGAAGGGCTTGTTGCTTCCCCTTCAGAAGAACCAAAGACAGGGAGAATTCCTGGAGTAAGGTCCTTGTGAGGAGCAGCTACTCCTGTGGAGAAGCCCAGGAGCCTCTGTCAGGTAGATGGGAAGCCCAGCCAGGAGTCTGACTCCTCCTGTGCCAAACTTGGCACGCCCAGAAAGCCACAACATTTTTGTAGGAAAATGGTTGTTATTCTTGTTCTCAGACAAATGTGGTGCAGAGTGTCTCTGGACATCGGTATGGAGAGAATCAGACAACTCCAGACCCAGGAGTAATGCACTGAAAATGTTTCATTTCGTTCAACTGTCTGGATTAGTAAAACACCTCTTCCATTGTGGGGCTGATGTCATATCTTAAACTATTTTCTTGATGAAGTGCTTTCAAAAAAACCCCATTTATTACGACGTCCATATTTCTGTGACTTCATTTTTTTTTTTTTCCCCCCTCCTGGACCCTGTTATAACGTTTCTCATTGTGAAAACATTTGTGGAGGTTGTTTATTGATAGGAAAACTTCTGCTGGGCGTGTTGGCACGTGTGTGTGTTCAGAGGGAGGCGAGCAGGTTGTGCCCAGTCAGCAACAAAGCTGCTTCCAAAGATTTGAAAAAGTAATAATGTGCTTAACGTTTAAGAGCTCAAGCAGCACATCTCGCTTCTAGTAAAAGGTTTATAAGACTTCAGAGCTTTTTTATTTTTTAAATATATCCAACAAATCAAGGGGCTATTACCTGGAAATAATATTAAAGCGTTTAATCCTTTATGCTGCTGCTTCATTGTACAAAAATTTATTTCTTTGCTTTTTCCTGATTCAGCTGCATCAGCAGTTTAAAAAATTACTCTGTGCAACTCCTTTGGAACATGCAGGAGCTTTATATGTATAAAAAATGTCTGCCATTGTGCTGCAAAGAGCTGATTCCTGGGGGCGACTGGTTTAATAAAAGCATTTGCATGTGTAAGTGGCAGCAGTGATGCACTGCCCTGATCAGACACCAAAGAAATTAAATCTGGGCTGAGGAAGGACCAGAGGTCAAAAAATGATGGAGAAAAGAGAACTGCAGGGAAGAATTGCAAACTGATGTCGTGCTTGAGTAGCTCATTAGTGATTCTGTGTTATTTGCAGTCCCCCAAGTGTCTTCCTTTGAAACACAACGTGGCTAAAATACAATAAATTTAAATAAAAAAAAAATCTTTGTATTTTATAGTACGTTAACTGTCAAATATAAACCACGATGGGAATAAATTTTCAAATATGCACCATTATTTGTGAAACCCTATGTTTTGTGGTTAAAAAGAAAAAGAGGACTCCAGCTCGATTTTCCTTTGGCTACAGGATTTTTATTAACATTTTAACGGTTTTGTTTTACATAATAAATAAGCAAAAATGCTTTACATTTTTTTAGGGAATACATATATAATTCTGAGCATTAATAGGTTGTTTGGTTTGCGTGCTTCTTCACCTACACTTGCCAAATAGCTTTTTACCTGCATCATATTAAAAAAAAAAAAAAAAAAAAAGCAAAATCTAAAGTTCAGGAAAAGAAACGGAATAATAACATTTTCTCTGTGTTGCTTTTGAAGCGTGACTGAAGTGTTGAGAAAACCATTTGTGTCCTGTTTTGAGATTTTTTTAGAGAAATTCTGGCAGATTTCCCGTTCGTTTGCACTTTCAGTGATATATTCTCCAATTTTACATCCACTGTGCTTAATTCCCTTAAATTACTTTTATGCCCTTTTTCAAATCACGGGCCTGCAGAGACCTGGAGATGAGTCTGTTCCCTTATCACCTTATTTACATTGCACTCTTTCAATTAAGAGGGTAAAAACTTCACGTGGGATTGACTTTTCCGACTTTACACCGGTCTGGTGGAAGGTTCCCTGTCCATGGGGGTTGGAAGTGGATGATCTTTAAAGTCCCTTCCAACCCAAACCGTTCTATGATTCTTTGATTTTGATGGAATATTCCCTCTCTCACTCTCCATATCATTTTCTTGCCAGATCTGAACCCCCCCCAAGGGTTAAAATCCTGTGAAGCCCCATGACAAAGGCGTCTGCAGTGGCTCAAAGGGAGAAATGAGGTTGTTTTTCATAATATATTCCAATTCACACTCCTCTTCAGTGTCATAATTTTTCCCCGTTATTAAAACCACTGCCACTGTGGTGGCTGTGCCCTGTTGTGCACCTCGAGTGTGCTGAGAACATCTGTAGTTTAACTGATTAAAAGTCATATTTTTCTCCTGATATAATTGACTCCCGTCCCAGCTGTGAACACAAAAATGCTGTTTTCTGGTTTTGGAATGGCAGGAAAAAACATTCCACGCGTTTGCTTTTGTAATCACAGGTCTTTCCTAAAAACCTTCCCCTGTATTATCATCTGTGAACGTGTAATTGGTTCATTTTTGCCTAATAGGGGAAAGTTCCGGTGCCCGAGTGTCGCGTCCCATAAAACATCTGGGGGAGAATGATGGAACACCTCCTCTGCTCAGGCTCCCTGAATAAAGCCTGGAAGTGTGAATAACAGGGTAGAGGCTGGAGAAACATTTTGTGGTGTTTTGCTGAGAAATATCAATGGTGTCTTTTAACCAAAGCCTAATTTGTACGTTCCCAAAACCGTGTTTTTATAGCGAGAAGGACTCGGAAGAACGGCAAAAACGCAGAAGATTTTGGGTGCAGCAATGCCATTAATGAGGTACCAAGTGCAGTGTGAGAGTTGTGCATCAGGTTTCTTTTTAATGATGCAAACAATGCCAGTTCCTCCTTTCCAGGGCATGGGTTTAATTTAACAAAATTAACATCTGCATAATTGCGTCTTTTAAGGAGTTGGGGTCATTTGTCAGCACCACTGGCTGGGAAGGCTCTTAACCACAGCCACTGTAAAACCAGCTTGTGTCTCATCCCTTTGATTTATAAAGTCAGAGTGATAATAATTTACATTTTTACAGCTTTTCTGGAGACTTGCAACTTCTCCAGCATTAAACAAACCAAGGAGCACAGTTGCACTGATTTATGCTGGTTTGGTTCTGCTTTTGGTTGTGGTTTTTTTTAAGTCACTGTTCTGGAAATCACTGATTAGGTATTTTTTGTTATATTTAGCACGAAATATAATTTTCATGCAACTGAAAACATCAGACAAGTGAGAGCTCCCAAGTGAACATCACTTTATAATAAAGCCTTCTCTGTTAACCTTTTAATTTTTAAGCAATGCAAATACTAAAAATTGTTTTCAAACCTATGATTTAAAAGTATTTTTTGTGTACTCGTAGCAATAAATATTCATACCTAGAAGGAAGTGACTTTATTGTTGTATTCTGGTGGAAGGTTCACTCTCTGTGGCAGGGGGTTGGAACTGGATGATCTTTAAGGTCCCTTCCAACCCAAACCATTCTGAGATCCTTTGAGAAAGTATTTATGTGGCTGGTGCAATATGGAAAAAACTCTTGCTCATGGATTGCACCTTGTCAGATAAAACCATAAGGGAATAGACACTTAAAAAAATTACATGTTCTCCATCCTTTATGTGCAGCAATAGAATCACAGAATGGTTTGGGTTGGAAGGGACCTTAAAGATCACCCAGTTCCAACCCCCTGCCATGGGCAGGGACACCTTCCACTAGACCAGGTTGTTTCCTTCAGTGAAGGTCTTTTAGAGGGATAAGAGAGAGACTTTGAAAAGTCTGAATTAGCCTTGAATTGGACTAAAAAGCAGAGTTGACTCGGATCTACAGCAACATTTGTTGTTGTTTTTTATGGCTCTTGTTTAGGGAGTCGTTCGTTGTTTTGTCAAGAAAAGAACTGAGGAAGTTTGGGAAGTGGTTCAAAACCACAGTGGACTGACTGTTGTCAGTTAAACACACACAGACCCACGTGTCTCCTCGTTTGTAAACTTCACAAAGAAGTAAAAATAAAGGGGGTGAAAATCTCTTCCTAACTGGCTGGACAAAATGGGAGCGTTTGTGCAATTTGGGATTTGTGAAGTGCACGAGTCAGTCAGACCCCAGTCCTACCTTTGTGCTGACAACAAGATTTATCCTTAAGGAAGTTCAGTGTGTTGAAAGCTGAACCTTTCAAAGTTCACAATTCTGGCAAGTTTGAAATAAAGCATAAACGTTCTTTATTCTCTTGACTATAAAGAAAACATTTCTGGTGCTGTTATTAAGATGCATTTTTGAGTAGCTGGGGTTAAAATCTGCACAGTTCTCCCAGAATTCCCAATGAAACACATGATTGAGAAGTTTCTTTTTCTTATTACAACACTTTATGGGGAATAGTTGTTAGTTCCTGCTACGCAGTTTGTCCCAATTTGCCATGACAAGACCTGTAACCCTGTGATACGTATTAATTTGTTGTATTGTCCCTTGTCAAGATGAATGGTGGTGGTAACAATCTCAGAACACTGAAATCTACGTTAAATAAATCAAATTTAGGTTTGATTTATTTAGTTTAAAACGTTTTGGGTAATTAATAAATAAGCTTTTTTTTTTTTTTTCCCAAACACGAATTCTGTTTGGTTAGTACAGCTGTATTGTGGCCACTAAAAATCACCAATCTCTCAACAAAGTTCATTTGTCAGGGTGTGGGGTGGAAAGATGATGTAAAGTTTTCACACAATTTGTCCAAAAAAAAAACTAAACTAGAGTGTATAGTTAATGATAAAAAAAAAAAAAATCTTGAATGTATTTTGAGAAGGAGGGGGTTAAGGAAAAAAAAAAAATGTTCTCCATATAAATCTCTGCATATAACACCTATCATTTCTTTTTGTTGCACACTATAAAATAACAAAAATAAGATCTGTAACGTGTCTTCCCACTGGCACCAGAGCTCAGTCTGGGACAACGAAGCGTGGGAAGCTGGATGGAGGGGGTTTTTCCTGACCACTGTCACACGAGCCTGTCCCTCACCGACCCTCAGCTGCTCTCAGTAAATGTAACCGTGTTTTCTCATGCTTTTTTTTTTGGCAAATCATTACAGTTTGGCTTCTTAATTAAAGGTAAATACTCCTGTTACCGTCACCTCCCGTTGGCAATTATTACAGAAGTTCCGATATAATGGGGTAGTGCAGATTCCTTGTGGGTTTCTGGAGAGGAAGCCGAGGAGGGGCTTTGGTTTTTGTAAAGAAACGTATTTACTTCCTCGGAATTGTATCCATAGCTTTCCCCCGCGTGGCCCGTGGCCGTGCAGGACGAGGTTTGGAACGCGCCGTGCTTGGCCAGAACGTGGTGGTAATTGAGGAGCACGAACGGGACTTGTCCCGAGGGTCTCACATCCATCACACGCTCGCTCTCGGAGTCGTGGTCGAGCTTTACAGTCATTCTCTCCTCGCCGTCCAGTTCCTCCAGGTTTGCAGGGTGGTGACCAATGTGCCCGTACTTGGGTTCTTTCACACAAATCCTTCTTGTCTGCTCGTACACCGAGGGCATTGGCAGGAGGTGACTTAGTTGTCCTATAGCTTTGGACTGGAAACATTCCGATTTTGGCAGCAGGGAGCTGGCAATGGAGTTTGAAAAAGAACTTTCGTTAATGCTCATTTTTTCTTGGAGGTCTCTGTTGAAGGCCAACTTGTTCTCCTCTTTAATGAGGTGGGGAGGTGGCTGGATCCTGGGTTCTATTTTGTTGTGTTTCATGATGGTGGAATCATAAATCTCTTCTTTGTACCTGCTGCCTGCCATGGGCGCGGTGCAGCTCGTGAAGTTGTCGGGGAGAGCGTCCTGGCTGTATCTCCTGTTGGATATGGGGACTTGCAGGAAAGAGAAAACACATTAGTTACTGACCACAACCCCTGTAAGAGTCAGACTCAACACTTTATGCCTGAACTTTAACACCCATTTGGGTTGGGCCAGATCCAGGTCCCAGTGAAGACATTAGAGACATTCCCGTTCACCTCAGTGGCTTTGGATAAATCTCTTTAAGACAGGGCTGGAAAGTTAAAAAAAAAAATCCACCCAACCTCTTCAGAAGAGTTGAACCATCCTGAAAAGCTTTTATATGTGAAATGCCCATTTACTTACTTGACTGAATAATTGCATCATTGACATTATTAATATAGTTAAATCTGGGAAATTAAACCAGAGAAATACTTGGAAATGTGACCTGTCAAAAAATGTTGACCTTAAAGAAGCTCCTTGCAGAGATTTATCAAAGGATTTACCAAAGGCTGGGCGACATTATTACATATCAATGATCCCATGGTTAGAGTAAAACAGAATTTATTCTTCCTGTCACTGTGGGAGTGTATTGGACACATCCTTGTGAGGAGAACATCTAATTCATGATATCTATTTGTGGTATATGTAATACCTAGGTAGATATTAGAAGGTGACGTGTCAGTGTCTAATTTGTGATACCTCTTTGTGGTATATGTGATATCTGGATTGTGTCACATTAAAGACTTTGCTCTTTCTCTTTGAAAAACTAATATCAGGTATTAAAAAAATCTATAGGAAAGCAACCTAAATGCCCCTTGAGTAATGCTGTATTTCTGCTTTTAAGATACTATCATGTAACAATATATATAAATATTATATATATTATATATATTATATATAAACATATATAATTATATATAATATATATTATATATTTATATATATTATTATTTTTATATATATTATTATATAACATTATAAATGAAGGTTACAACATTGTCATTTAAACTACTCCTCCAAGGCATTTTTGGAAGTTTTATGTTAAAGGAAAAACAAGGCCCTGAGCAAATTTCTCAAGTTAAACTCAATTTTGTGTTGCCTTCACTGAAAGCCCTGGACACTTAAGTACCTTTTGTAAAAGGGATTTGCTGTTTTTCTAGCGATTTTATTCAACATCCTAAAGGTTTTGGAGTTCCTCTGTAGTGGTTGGTGATGTAACTGTAGCCTCTAATAATTAAATATTCCCTGTGCTGTAGTAGACTGGCAAAGCCTTCATGTATAACAGAGGAAGCAGAAACAGCTCAATTGTCCCCCCTTTTTTTTTTATATGCAGAACTCCATTAATTTCAGAGGGAGTTGCACCACATAATTAACACCAGAATTTAAACAGAAATCTGGTTCCAATTTCTTCTTGATCAACACACCACCCTCTTAGAAACAATAACCTTTCAAGTTATTCTTTTTCGTTTCCATGGATATATTTTTTACCAAGAAGTACATGCTGAACTAAACTGAAATACTCAGCAGCTGTTGAAAAATGGCCTTTTTAGATCACAAATCAAACCAGGATTCGGCCACGTGCTTGAGTATAACTTGGAAATTTCACCTGTGTAGTGACACCAATTTTAACTCCACATGTGATATTTTTACTACGAATAAGTGTAGATGCTGAGAACTACTGACATGTAATTAATCTGGTGTAACTAATCTGATATTCTGGTTTTGACTTCCCCAGGGGCGATGGGTTTGTCTCCTTACTGCAGTGTGGAGTATTCTCACTTTATGGCTCTCCTCTAATCTCTGAACGAAATGTTGTCCTTTTCCATTTTTAGAGACTAAGAGAACTTGGAAGAAGCTGAAGCAACACAGCAACCAGCTGGCCCCTGTCTTGTTATCTTCCTTTCTGTAATCTCAGGTTCTGCTGGGCTCGTGGCTGCCTTTTTGGCTCCAATGAGTAATTTGCATACTTGGGAGATGTGCAGGATACAATCCATTCTGTTCTATCCTGTCTCCCAAATGTGGTTTTCATCTCTTTTCCTGAGGAAGAAGGTAAAAGTCTGGTTAATTGTTTGCAGGCTTCCACTGAAGTTGTCAGCACGTTTGTGGAGTCAGAGCAGAGAGAGGAGTTAGTCAGGCCCCGACTTCTGCTCGGTGTGAGCAGGGACAGGACCCAGGGAAGGGCTGGAGCTGGGACAGGGCAGGCTCAGGGTGGATCTCAGGACAAGGTTCTTCCCCCAGAGGGTGGTGGGCACTGCCCAGGCTCCCCAGGGCAGTGGGCACGGCCCCAAGGCTGCCAGAGCTCCAGGAGGGTTTGGACAACGCTCTGAGGGACAGGAGGGGATTGTTGGGGTGTCCTGGGCAGGGCCAGGGCTTGGACTGGATGATCCTTTTGGGTCCTTCCAGCTCAGGATATTCTGTGATTCTGTCACATGATTTTAAGTCGTGTCTGCAGTGCAAGACTACGGGCCTTTTTGTCTGCTCACATTCAGAAGAGTTACTGGACTTAAAACTGCTTTTGTCTTCCTTTGCAGGCAGAAACCTGAGGATGCCCTGGGACATCCTGGGACTCCTCCTGGGGAGCTTTTCATGCAGAGGTTCACAGAAAGCTGAGCAGCTGCTTTGTGTTGCTGTGGAAGGGCAGCACCCCCAGGGTCACTTCCACGTGAGCAGTTGCCAGAGAACCTGCCCTGGCAGGTGCACAGGGATCCCTCACATCCTGCACTTCTCTGGGAGTGTTCCAGAGGTGCCTGGATGTGGCCCTTGGGGCCATGGATTAGGGGTGATTGTGGTGGTGCTGGGTGAGGGTGGCACTGGATGATCATGAAGGTTTCTTCCAACCTTGGTGATTCTGTGATTCTATGGGTATAAACACCTTATGGTCACTGAAGTCAGTGCATGACTTCAGGATGCTTTTCAGGCCACTCTTGTGCCAGAGCAACTCAGCTGTGTCAGGTGAGCTGGATACACTGCACACCTAAGGTTCTATATCATACAATCATGGAAAGGTTTGGGTTGGAGGGGACCTTAAAGATCAACCAGTGCCACCCCCTGCCATGGGCAGGGACACCTCCCACTAGCCCAGGTTGCTCCAAGTCCCATCCAACCTGGCCTTGGACACTTCCAGGGATCCAGGGGCAGCCACAGCCTCTCTGGGCAACCTGTGCCAGGGCCTCCCCACCCTCACAGGGAAGGATTTCTTCTCAATATCTAATCCAACCCTACCCTCTCTCAATTTAAAACCATTTCCCCTTGTTCTGTCATTATCTGCCTATATAAAAAGTCCCTCTCCTTCTTTTTTATCCCTCTGTGTCAAACAAAGCAAAGATACAACAGGTCTTAATACTGTCCATGCCCATGAGAAAGACACTTTTTAGATTAACTCTGTGCTGTGTCCTGGTCTAAATCCTACTTGTAAGTCATCCGAGACATGGGTTGATGTTCTCTATTACTCTCCCTCCAAAACCAAAGATAAGATAACATGATCTTCCAGACCTCTTTGTCTCTAGTGAAGTACACTTTGCAAAAATGTCACTTATTTCTTTCAGGAGGAAGATAAACCTGGAGCTTTTTCATGGGTTTTCTCAGTGTTCTTCCTAATTCCCTGACTTTGGACATGATTAATAGCACTGAGCCTCCCACAGAGAGCACAGGCTGGCCAACAGCACAAACTGAAGGAGAAGTGGGTCCTGTGGTATCCACAGTAGCAATTTATCCATTTGAGTGTACAAAGGAAACTTCCCTCACTAAGAATACGGTTGCCTTCACTGAAATGAGCTTCTTTTCTGATGACTAGGCCAGCTGGGGGAGAAAAAAAAAAAAAAGTGGAAGAAGCTTCAAAACCAGATTCAGATTCTGAGGCAGAAACATCTGATTTGCAGGCACTTGTATCTGCTACGTGCCTTTTCAGAGCTTTGATGGCTTGGCATGATCGTCTTCCAATCTCTGATCTCTCCCAAAGAAGCTATTTTCCATGGAGAAAAATGTCTTTGGCCCACGGCGCTCTTGGCAGGCGCTCCCGTGGATGTGATGTGGAATAGCCCTCGCATCCAACCCGGTTGCCAGATGTCATATTTGGCATCGCCTTTGGATGGATGGGAGACAATGATGCTGAGCAGATCCTCCCTTGCTTTGAAGCTCCCTGGCTGTCAGTTTTTCAGGGAGCCACTGGAAAAAGCAGCAGTTGACAGGGTAAGGGAGATCAGACGCCCCCTTTTACAGCAAAAAAAGTGGCTCCCAAAGGTTCGGATTTCGCTTCTGCCACCAGCCTCAAAAGTGCAGCAGCACTGACTCAACTTCAGGAGGAAACAAGGCTGGAACAATTAGATATAAATCCTGTCTGCAGTGGAGCCTCTGTTTTTCTTTTGCTTCTTACAACACTATGTGTCAAGCCATGATCTCAGACCAGGCCCATGTTTGACCGTATTCTTTTTTTCCCTCCTAAACAGCACAACTGTCAGTGCTTCTGAAAGGAATTAATTGTACCAAGTCAGTTTTCATCAAATATCTGCTAAAATCCATCTGTGCTCAAAAAAGAACCCACACATTCCAACTTGAGCAAGAAAACCTTAAGTAGGAATAGAACCAGAAATAAGAACCACTGGTATTGCAGGTCCATTTTCCTCATCACGAGGAAAATGTGTTTCCTCATCATGAGAAAAATGTGTTTCCTCATCATGAGAAAGATGTGTTTCCTCATCATGAGGCAAGTGTGATGAGGCTGACAAATACCAGGAGTTACTTGCAGGTTTTTTTGGGGAGGGTTTTTTTTTTTTTTATCCTGACATATTTAACAGTATTCCTGTGGAAACCTTCTGATGGAATATATTTACTAGGAGCTACCTGCCCACACCAATTGCTCATCTGCTGCTCTGCTCACTGGGCTTTGCTGACAAATGTTATGGCAAGTTTTAGAGTCTGTTCTGTGAACAAGCTCTTCTTTCCACATCCATTCTTAGTGTTGGTCTGGAAGCAGAGAAGAAGAGCTGGGCTGATTTCTCTACACTTAGAGTAGCTCTATGCTATCCTTACTGCAGAATTCACTTCAATCTTTATCCTTATCCTCAAAAAACGTAACTTTTTCTTATTCTTTTATTTTCTTTTTTTTTCCTTAAAGACAAAGCCATTTCTTATTTTTGGTCTAAAATTCTTCCTTTTCCCACAACAGCAACCAAAGGAAACGAGCAAATTAGAGGAGCATGAGCTCAGGAAAAGCATTTAACCTGCTCTTGGCTGTAAGAAGAGCTTCAGCCTTGCTCATTTTCAACCTAAACACAGAAGAGTGAAGTGAAATGCCACGGTCAGTGAGGTGAGGTCCATCAGCTGGGTGAGGTCAAACAGTCCTGTGAAGGACAAAGCCCTGGGGAGAAGTTATTTGCTCCTCTGTGGGGGACACATTCAGTGTCTGATGCTGTCTGATGAGGAAGCTCAGCCCTTAAACATCTGCTGATATTCACTTCAAGGTCTTGGCTATCTAATGTAGTGTCCCTGAGTGAATAAATTCTTGTTTCTGGTACTCAAAAAACTGTCTTGAGCCTACCTTTTCTAATTTTTTTTATATTAAATTTTTCTAGTTCTCCTTTCATTCCAACCTCACCATGCAGGAAGAAAGGAGTGTTTCCACCCAACTTTATAACAGATGTCCACCAGTCCATCCTCATCAGTGATTTTAAACTGATCAAAATAGGGTGCAGGTGAGATCTAAGGGTTGGCTCTGGATTGGGAAGGGATAAACCAGAGTGCTGCCTAAAGGAATTCTTCTAAATTCAGCAGGTTTCCAGCCCTGTGCATTCTGTTACAGAGCTGATCTGAATTCTGCACTTGCTGATGTTCTCTGACAGTTTCAGATACATCTTAACTCACAAAAAAGTAATTAATGTGACTGTTCAAACTAGTCTGTGGTGGGGTTTTATATGTAATTTTACTTTGCATCTCTCTGTAACAGGTTTTTGTACAACTCACAGTTACTGAAAGTAAAGTCTGTGGGGAGGGGGGGAATCTAGGCCAACTAAGGCTATTTTTGCTAAAATGAGCAGCAACCTGAAATCTCAGCAGAACTTGGCTTTGAGGCTCATTCATGAAAGCAATTATTTCATCAAAGCAATTATATTTAGAGTTGTGTGAGAGGAAGGTGAATGAGGGGAGTATTTAATGCTGTTACTTGAGCTGAAGATACTCTTGACACCATCCTGAAACAGTCTAATTTGCCAGAGTCTGGTTTGTCCTACTATTTTTATTTCTTTAGATAATTAACATTGTTCCTTGCCTATGTTGGAGGAGAAAACATCACAGCTTGACTCAACTTTCATTTTCCAGTTGGCCCAGCTGTGAGCCCAGGAGTGTTTATAATGAGAGATCAAGCTCTGCCAAAACCACTGCAATAAACCCTATTATTGTTGGATACAGGGAAAAAAATTAATGGGTTGGACTAGATGATCTCCAGAGGTCCCTTCTGTGATTCTGTGATTAGAGTGTATTTTGAGCTGCTTCACATTTGGTTACTTCATAACTTTTCAAGGTTATTTTTACAGGTTACCACCTCAAAGGAGTCAATGTCTTCAGTGCTTCCTTCAAAGCATTTGAGTTGGCCATCTGTACTGGGAGATGGATAGTGGGGAGGAGCACTAAAGACATTTTCAAATTCAGAATTATTATCAAATAAAGCAGAATTATTGCCCTGTAGTAACTGTAAGGTGAAGACATTCCTAATGGCTTTGTGCTCAGAAAGGACAACCTTCAATTTTTATGGAAACAGATCATGTTTATTTTAATCCCTGTGTGTGAGCTGAAGTACATTTTGGTTCAATCTGACTTCAGCAATGACTTACCTGAGCAATTCCCCTAAAGAACTCTGAGAGTGCAAAACATGAGGGCGAACTGTGCCAGTATTGAAGGAGGTGATATCTCTGTGCTGTTCTAAAAGCGATCCTGGTGAATCCATTCCACCAGGTGAATTGGTGAATATTGATAATATTCCCAATCAAGTGCTGATGGTAATGGGAAGAAGGATCAACATGTGAATGCTGTAAACACAGTGGTTGTTACCTTTCACTGCCTCTGATTTTCTGTGTTTCCTAAATCCCTGCTTTCAAGACACAGATCATTCCCGGACACCCCCACAGCCTTTTATCTTTCCTCGAAGCGACACCCACCTTCATAACTCTGTGCAAGGTTATGCCTGATGATGTTCACTGGCTGCTCAGGAAGGCTTTTGGACGGTGACTGGCTGTTGGGTACCAAGGGGTTGGTGTAGTGCCACTGGCACTCCCCGTTGGTCTGCAGCGTGCTCAGGAAGAGCCGCGCCACTTCACAAGGTGCTCCTTGAGCCTGCCCGAACTTTGCAGGCAGCATTTGTTTTTTGCCACTGAAGACGTGGGAATCCACAGGGAAGTGTCCATAATGGTAGGAGAAGGGCAGGCTGTACGGTGGGGCGTATAAAAGTTCGCTGTTTTCTGAATGGAAGGTTTGTTCCTGAATGGCGGCGGCGTTCACGGCGGGGCTGGATCGCCAGCTTCCCACCTGGCTGCATTCCAGTTTGTCTGTTTGGAACGAGCTGTATTGCTGGGGGAAAGAGAAGAAAAAAAAAGAGAGGGAGGGGGGAAAGAGAGTTAAATTTTTATATGGAACTGTAGAATGTATCATACAGGCAGCCCGGGCTGGGCCTCCTTTGCCTGCGATCTCAGGGGCTACAGGGACCGACTCACCGGGGAGGGTGAAGTTCCTTGTCTTCATGATGACTTTGCTTTCACTTAACGTGGGGACAAAAAAACTGCTTTGTCCTCTTAATGTTAAGTGTTTACTTGATAGTTTTGGTTTCACAGAATCCCAGAATCATTGAGGTTGAAAAAGAGCTCCGAGATCATCAAATCCACCCTGTGCCCCATCCCCACTTTGTCCCCCAGCCCAGAGCACTGAGTGCCACGGCCAGGCCTTCCTGGGACACCTCCAGGGCTGGGCACTCCAAACCTCCCTGGGCAGCCCCTGCCAAGGCCTCACCACCCTTTCCAGCAGGAAATTCCTCCTGATGTCCAAACTGACCCTTCCTGGTACAGCTGGAGGCCGTTCCCTCTCCTCCTGTCCCTTGTTCCCTGGCAGCAGAGCCCGACCCCCCCCGGCTCCCCCCTCCTGTCAGGGAGTTGCAGAGCCAGAAGGTCCCCCCTGAGCCTCCTTTTCTCCAGGCTGAGCCCCCCCAGCTCCCTCAGCCCCTCCTGCTGCTCCAGCCCCTTCCCCAGCTCCGTTCCCTTCCCTGCACACGCTCCAGCCCCTCCATGTCTCTCTTCCATGAGGTTCCAGAACTGGACACAGCCAAACTGAGAGTAGGCAGTTGTAAGTACCAGAGGGCAGAAGTTTGTTCTAAAGTACTGTCAGTACTAGACCATGAAAAAGGTTTAGCATATCAAGCTTTAGAATGGTAGAAAGACCAAATCTGTCCTTTGCATCAGCTTCTTTCACAATATTTTTCTCTTCCCACTCTCTCCCTCATCATTCTCTCCAGCCTCCTAATGCTTTTTGGGATCTCACTGTTGGGAATGAAGTAATATCTATGTGACATCAAAGACCCCACGTGGCAGCAGGGAACGAGACTCATTCTACACCAGCACAAATTTTCACAACACAGCTATTCTTAGTAGGGTTTTTTTCATCTTTTTGCCAAGAAAAGGCATTGTTTTTTTTTTCAGTGCTTCAGATATGTCACATCTAAAAGCTTTTGCATCATTTGCTAGAGCGGTTTGTACTACCTGTGCTGTCCACCCCAGGAACAAAAGGATCTAATTGTAATCTGGTTTATGAGGGATTTCCTGAGGCAGAACATGTCAGTGTTATAGTAAATTCAGTCCTGGATGATCTTTATCCTGCCCCAAACACTCTATGACAAAAATTGGTAAACAAATGTTGCCAGAAAAAGTTACCTGTTGTGGGTAAGGTGTTGTTCTGAGTTTTGCCTTCATTTTATTACTTTTGGGTTTGACTATTTTCCTTGTTTCCTGCGAGGTAGGTACTGAGTTTCTGCATGAAAACTGTGACTTGGAAATGGTAACCTGGTCCAGTGACAGCTGAAGTTCCTTATACTCAATATCTCTGCAAAAGAACAGTCCAATGAATTACATCCTCTAACAGGCCACACAAACCCAAAAGAGCTCCTGTGAAAACACATATTAGATTTCATAGTGGTTTAATTTTCATTCTTCCAAGATTTTTCCTGAGTCTGGGAATGTCAACAGGCAAGAAATCTTATGGTCTGACCTCATCCCCACGCCAGTCTATCACAAACATTCTGACAAAATCAGAACACTGAGAACCACGTTAACGTCTTTGTTTCTGAACCCAAGCTGTGCCAACTTCTCTCAGCCCCCCATGGGCACCCTGAGGTTTGGAATCAGCAGATAGAAAGACACAGATCAATTAATTTTTCTCCTGCTCAGTCAGGAACTGGTCTCTGCCCTGGCTCTCACAATCAGCCCCGAGGAAAGGAAAACGAGCAACGTTCCTCTCCCGTCAGCATCGTGTGCTTGTAACTACACCACGTGAGCTGCAGTGTTTTTTACCTTCTGATCACAGAATCACAGCATCATCAAGGCTGGAAAAGACTTTCAAGATCATCCAGTCCCACCCTCTCCCAGCACCAACAGAATCACCCCTAATCCATGTCCCCAAGGGACACATCCAGACACCTCTGGGACACTCCCACAGACAGGGACTCCACCACCTCCCTGGGACACTTATTCCAAGGCCTGACTATTCTTTTAGAGAAAAAAAATAATTCTAATCTCCAATCTGACCCTGTCCTGGTGCAATTTAAGGCCATTTCCTCTCCTCCTTTCCCTTGGACATGGCAGCAGAGCCCGACCCCCCTCCCTGCCCCCTCCTGTCAGGGAGTTGGGGAGAGCAATAAGGTCCCCCCTGAGCCTCCTCTTCCCCAGATAAACCCCCCCAGCTCCCTCATAAGACATGATTTCTAGACCCATCCCCAGCTCCACTGCCCCTCCCTGCACACGATGAGGATTTATACAGCAGTGAGGAACATCAACTCCTTTCAGCTGACAGCACCTAAAAAGGGGGGGATGTGAACAGAGAAAGGGGCTGTAACAGGCAAGCACAGAAAGATACAAAGAAAACCGCAAGTATTTAACCAGTAATGAATCGATTACTGACGACATGGAATGGTACAAAGTATTTTGACTTACGTAAGGACATAATTGACACTCACTATGCAGTGAGGCCGTGACGAACGGCTGTTGTGCACAATGGTGGCATAGCTCTGCACCCACACCCAGCCTCCGTGCTTGGACAGCAGCCTGTAGTACTTGGTTGTGACTTGGCCTTTCACCAACACTGTAAATACAATAATAACAAAAAAAAAATAAATAATTAAAACAAAAAAATTCCCGTTTCTTGGACTCGCGAGCGCTTCCTGGAAAGACTTATTCACAAGGCAAGGGCTTTTTTTTTCCTCCTTCGCTTCCCTGAAAACTCCTTCTCCTCCCACCAAACCCCCTGCAAACGGATCTGTGCAGCTCCTTTATGTAGATTCATAATGTCACGTTATTATTTTCATATAATACGTTGAAAACTCCTAAGGTTTGTCCTCCTTCTCTTCTGGCAAAAGAAAAGCTCAAGGCAGTAAAAGTATCTCGAAGGGGACACGGCAAGTTTGGAAGGAGAAGAGGAAATGGGCTTAAGTTAAGGTTCAAATGAGATATTAGGGAAAAAAACTTCCCTTCAGGAGTGCTCAGGCCTTGGAATAAGTGTCCCAGGGAGGTGGTGGAGTCCCTGTGTCTGGGAGTGCTCCAGAGGTGTCTGGATGTGGCCCTTGGGGACAGGGATTTGGGGTGATTGTGGTGGTGCTGGGTGAGGGTGGCACTGGATGATCCTGAAGGTCTCTTCCAGCCTTGATGATCCTGGGATTCTGTGATTTTTTTTCCAGTGTATTTGGAAGCACTTCTGTCATTCATAGCTTGATAGATTATTGTGCATTTTACAATGTATTTTATGCTATGATTGGTGGGTTTTTTTCCTCTGTGAGCTCTACATCTTGAAGGGTGATTTAAAAGGCTAAAATTAAAATGTTAATTGGTTGTGAAGCATCCAAATAAAGACAAAGACAGAGAGGTGAATCAGTTATCTGATATCTTTCACTACACATGTAATCCTCTCTAAACTATTTTGGATCCTCTGTGGACAAGGATGTTTTGACATGAGACTGTGCTATAACAGGAGCTGTGCAACATCTCTAAACATTTGGTCCAGCCACAAATATTTCTGGTTCAGTGCCAGGCATTTATCTAATGATTCACTAGAAGATGATGCCCAGCCTTCTAAGGTGATTCTTTTCTTGTGTGGCTCTGCATCATTCCTTCAGGGAACTCCCCCTTCTTACTCTTCCATACAATCACTTATTTATTGTAAATTAGGAAACCACGGGCTGAGCTCGCTGCACAAATTCTGTTCAAAAAAAGTGACCAATAGCAGCAATTCCTTTATATAATAAATGATTAAGAAATGGAATTACTGCTTGCAAATGCAGGGCTTGGACTAGACTGAACACAATAGCAAAGCTCAGTGTCATTTTGTGCTCTCCTTGCACATGTTTGGTGCAGAAGCAGATAAATGATAAGGAGGATGAGAAGCAGATTTCTCTTTCAGACAACTCTAGGAGAGCAAATCCCTGATAGAAAGGAAAATACTTGGCCTTACAATTTGTATTCATCAAGGATCTTTCTGTCAAGGAGAGCATTTAATATTAAACTGGGAACTAAAGAGTTAATAAGAGTTAAAGAGATAATATTTGATGGGTTGATCGCTGTTTGGTAATTAATTGTGCTGCTATCAGTCATTGCTGGGGTTGGCTTTTTTGGTTCAGTTGTTACATAAGGGAGTAGGGGGTTGTAATTTCAATACCAAACAGGGACCACATTAATGTGAATAATGTGAAAATTCTGATGTAAGACTGACAGAAGTAGAAGAGCAAGGGGTTCTTGTTCTTGCTAAAATGTCCTCTAAGTCAGTCATAGAATCATAGATGGTTTGGGTTGGAAGGGACCTCAAAGATCATCCAGTTCCTACCCCCTGCCATGGACAGTGATGGAATCCAATCCAACCTGGCCTTGGACACTTCCAGGGATCCAGGGGCAGCCACAGCTTCTCTGGGTAACCTGAGCCAGGGTCTCACCACCCTCACAGGGAAGGATTTCTTCTCAATATTTAATCCAAACCTACCCTCTCTCAGTTTAAAGCCATTGCCCCTTATTCTGTCATTATCTGTCCAGACAAAAAGTCCCTCTCCCTCCTTTTCATAAGTCCTCTTAAGGTACTGGAAGGCCTCAGTGAGGTCTCCCCAAAGTCTGGAGTATATAAACCATCTCTTTGAACTTCTGACTCTCCCATCCATCCTCACAAGTGACAACATACATAAACTTTCTTCCAAATCCAGATGATCTCCCTTAGAAAATCAGGCTCTTAGAAAATACCTGTAGACAGGTCTTTCTGGACCTGTCATGTCAGGATAAGGTACCACTTGTTCAGAAAGCAACAAGATGAACAAGAACATCTACAACTTCCTCCCGAGGGGCAGCTCCGACCTCTGGGAGGAGGGACAGGACCCAGGGAAGGGCTGGAGCTGGGACAGGGCAGGCTCAGGGGGGATCTCAGGACAAGGTTCTTCCCCCAGAGGGTGGTGGGCACTGACCAGGCTCCCCAGGGCAGTGGGCACGGCCCCAAGGCTGCCAGAGCTCCAGGAGGGTTTGGACAACACTCTGAGGGACAGGGGGGATTGTTGGGGTGTCCTGGGCAGGGCCAGGGCTTGGACTGGATGATCCTTGGGGGTCCCTCCCAACTCAGGATACTCTATGATTCTATGATCTTGCAGGATATTCAAAACCCCACCCTCACTGGTATCAGGTCACTGTTATTTATGGCTTGAAGTCTCTCTCAGCTTTTTTTGCCCCATCCTTGACAGTGTCCTTCCTCACTCCTGCATTTCTACCTGGAATGCTCTGTGGGGTAGAGGTGTGCAGATGTGAGACATTTAAGATAATCATGAGAACTGTGTGTGTAAGCATGAAAACACACCCACAAAATATAAAGACGTAATCTTTAAGTGTAATTTATCACTCCAAGGTAAAGGTCCTGTAGCTGCTGCTCAAAGATTCAGTGCCAAGTAAGTCTGTTCTAAAAAATATATGTTAATAATCAGCTGTATGCCATGGGTTCGCTATTTCTTGTTTTTCTATTAGTTGTGAATGATGTTCTATAGTTGTCCCATCCCTGGAAGTGTCCAAGGCCAGGTTGGAGCAACCTGAGACAGTAGAAGTTGTCCCTGCCCATGGCAGGAGGGTTGGAACTGGATGATCTCTAAGATCCCTTCCAACCCAAGCCATTCTGTGATTCTATGATTTTGTGATTCATTCCATAATCCAGATGGTCCCATTCCAGGAAATGATGCTTACACATTATCCCAGATCATCTAACAGATAGTTTTTGGCGTGCGGTCGAGGCTTTTCAGAACTAAGTCTTTGTGCTATTTTAATGGGCACGTTTTCCTTGAGTTCAAAATGCCTTGCTACTCAGTCTGCTGAAAGAGAAATTAATGCTGTCACGGATCACTAGTTATAACAAAGTTCTTTCCTGTGCTTTGGGACTAGTTTTGGCTTCCTTTCTCTCTCACTGATACTTTTTTCTAAATCCCTGTTTTAGCTCTGCAGTTAAGACAGTATTTTAAAAGATGTGAAAACCACTGAGGGCTACAGTGTTCAGCTTTTCTTCGTAATTATATGGATAAACCAATATTTCTCCTGGGATGGGGGAGGACTCCATGCCTCCTGCATTTTTAGCAAAATCTGGGGAAAGTCTGACCTTGGCTGGGGGACAGTAGCTGTGGTTCTGAGACAGTAAATGAGGTCATCTTCCATCTGGCTCTGTGTTAAATTGCCCTGTTTGATGCTGAATGGGAAACCTCAGAAATGGGAGCGAGGTCAATCCACTACCAAGACAGTCTGTGCAGGCTCAGACTTCTTGGTGGCCTCCGCTGCAACCCAACGGGGAGGATTCCGTGGCTTCAGCCTTGGCTCTGGGATGTGCCATTTGGAACTGGGTGTTCCACTGTTGTGGCTCCCTCCTGGTTTAGCAGAGGAGCTGAAAAAGGCACTGGGCTGGCTGGGCTGGTCCTTCTGGTCTGTCAGAGACGACTATTTTAAAAGGTTCCATCGGGCTCCTGGGCGTGTGGCTGGGAGTTCCCAGCCTGTCCTTCAGGATGCCACCAAGAGAAATGGGTTGCTTGGTTCCGTGCTGGGAGCAGGTCCTGTTTTGTCTTCCCCTGGGCAGCGTGGGCAGGGGATGGTGCCCAGCAGACTCTGCAGTCCTTTGGACCTCTTAAAACCCAGTGCTGCTCTGCCAGGAGGTTTGGTTGCTGAGGGAGCAGCGACAGTGAAACTGTGCTCTGCTGCAACATAAGTTCTATAAATGCAAAGTTTGACTTCCAGGAGGCAGGAGAATTGTTTGGTGACGACATCAGCCGGGGCAGATGCCCTGCCAAGGGACAGAGATGTGAATCCTCTTAAAGTTTACGTGGGAAGAGCAATGATGTCACAGCACACAATCCCCCTCACAGGTACAAGTGAAGGGATTTCTCTGAGGGCACAAAGATATTTTGTCTGGGCTGGAACAGCCTCTCCATCCCGTGTTTTAGAAAGCAAGATCCTCGTTATTTGTGTGGCCACACTTCCCTGGTTGCAGGGAACACTGTGGGTATTAATGGGGCTACAGAAATAAATAACACCAGTTCAAAGGCCACGAGTGTTTTCATGTAGCTGGAAGCCAATCAAGAGTTTAAAACAGGAAACCCTGTTTGCTGCCAGCACACCTTAGGCAAACATCCACATCTCCACTTCCCTCTCAGCTTGATGTTCTTGTTACATCCCTTCTAACTTGTTCTCCTCACTGTTCCCTTTGTTTTATTCTCTGTGCTGCCTGACTTGGAGTTCAGTTGCTTTAGGTCTGCAGCTTGGGATAATTTTTTTTTTTCCTCTCTGAAAAAGCAAATGATCACCCCAGTTTAGGGTTACTTATTCTTTTCTTAATACCCTTATTAGGTGTAAGATGTTTCTCTCTGGCTTTCTTCATCAGATGACACTTCATCATCAGATTGCTTTAGAGAATGGTACCTCAAACCTGCCAACCTTCTGCTGATCATGTTCCTAAGACATTTACTGATGGATTGTGGGGGAGCTCTAACCATGCTCCCCAGGGGGAGTTTGTACACTTTACATCTGTTTTAATAATTCCCATTACTTGGTATTCTAACAATGATCCTGCACAGTTGCCCAAGAATTTGTCATTGTTTTTTGCTTCTTGGGATTCATTTGCTTCGAAACTTTCATAAATTCCTGTTCATGTCTCACATTTTTCTTCTGGTTTTAAACTTTAAAATAACTTATCTTTAATCTACAGAACTGCTCTTGGTTATTCTGTTTGGCTGAGGTCTGGGTTGGTTTTTTTTCCTTGTGGAGGATGTGGTGGGTAATTCAGTAATGATTTGTCTCTTCGTTTCAAACTCCAGGCATACACAGATCAAACTGGCAGCCAAAGTACAAATCCACCACACACACAGAATTATCCATCACTCTGCTCTAAGGGGGAAAACTGTTTTTCAGAGGTGATTGTGGCTACTGTGGTGTCCTCTCCACGCTGGTTGATAAAAGGATTTCAAACTGTCTTGTGAAAATAAGGAGGGATGTTTTGTGCAGGTCAACAGTCACTTCCAGATGGTAACTCTTTTGCAAAGAGGATGATGCCCTGACAGGACTTTTCCATGTACCCTGGTCATTCTAGTTTTTAACTTTCAATGGCCCAGAGTATTCAATAGTGTTTTGGTAAATATGACCTTGCTGTAAAGATCAGCTGGAACTTTCCCTGCCACCAACAGAACTCAGCACTTGGAATTTCAGTGCTGACTTGCCAAACACCCTTACAACATCCTTCATATTCCAGATCCTCATGAATAGCAGATATTAATGTGAAGAATTGACTAGTTTCTCCTTCAGGAAGCCTAAAAGGAGGATTTGACTCTGGCTGCTTCCAGCCTACAGGAGCAATCTGGAAAAAAATTCACTGCCATTGGTTTTTGGATGTCATCTTTGCATCGTATGGGTTGCAGCAGACTGAGCCAAATCCAGAGTTCAGCTATTCCCTCAATTTGCTTTTCAAATTAATGTGCTACTGAATGAACTAATTCCCAGATCCAGATGTTTGAAGATATGAGTGCTGTCTCTGTTGGAAGATGGGAAAATTATTAAATGCAATTATTTTTTTTTTCTGACAATCCATTCCCCAAACCTCATCCACATGCTAATAATGAATGTTCCTCTAAGGACTTTTTTGGGTTTGCATTCACTTCAAACACGGGATGATTATTACTAACATATTTCAGAGGAACGGGGAGCTGTTGCAGAGTTTTTATTTTAACAACAGAAGCTAGTAAAGTTCAGATCCTGCCCTCTCACTCACTCACTTGCTCTTTTGGGTTTTTTTTTCCTTCAGCCATGCAGAACCAAGTCCAAATTTTCAAAAGAGCCCAGACCTCCTAAATACAAAGATAAAACTGGCCAGATAAGTATTTTTTTTTTTCAGAAGCAGTATTGAGTATTGAGCTTATTTGCCGAATTAATGGTTTCCTTAAGTGATAGCCAAGTACTTTTGAAAATCTGTCTCCAATCAAGATTTGGAAAGTTTTTTCTGCTTTCCTTCACAGTGCTTGTTGTCTGCAGAACTTCTCACTCTACTCCATGTATTTCCTAGAAATGTGGAATCACAGAATGGTTTGGGTTGGAAGGAACCTTAGAGATCATCTCATTCCACCCTCTGCCACTGGCAGGGACACTTTCCACCAGCCCAAGTTGCTCCAAGCCCCGTCCAACCTGGCCTTGGACACTTCCAGGGATCCAGGGGCAGCCACAGCTTCTCTGGACAACCTGGGCCAGGGCCTCTCCACCCTCACAGCCAACAATTTCTTCCTAATATCCCATCTAACCCTACTCTCTGAAGCCATTCCCCCTTGTCCTGTCCCTCCAGCCCTTGGAAATAGTCTCTCTCCATCTTTCCTGGAGCCCCTTCAGGTCCTGCAAGGCCACAATCAGGTCACCCCAAAGCTTCTCCTCTCCAGGCTGAACAATCCCAGCTCTCCCAGCCTTTCCTCCCAGCAGAGCTGCTCCATCCCTGGGATCCTTTTGGAGCCTCCTCTGGGCTTGATCCAACAGGTCTAAGTCCTTGCTGTGCTTCCAGCCCCCATTCCCTGTACTTACACAGGTGATGAGCATATCGGAGGTGGAACACGTCGCAGCCGTGGACATGGTGGTAGAGGGTTTTTTCTATCAGGTCTTGGGGTTCATATCCAGTTAATTCAGTGACCCTGGAAAAGGAACAATCCATAATAAACAAAAAACTCCGGGAATATTCCATTTCATTAACCTAACATTCGACTGTGCCAACAAATCAGGTGCCTTAAAGCTGCGGGACAAAAATGTTAGTTTTGGAAACGGAATCCTCACCCTTATAAGAAAATAAACCCTCTCAACCCTGCCAAAGCAAGGTGCAGCTTTTCCCTGGTACACACAGGCAGGAAAAAGAGCTCTTTTACTTATTTCCACCTCGAGCTTTTGCCACTGCCATGCAAGACCTTTTGCATAGAGTTCTGGTCGAGGAGCTGTTCATGAAACAATAAAACCACTCCGGTGGGCTGCTGAGACATTTCCATTTGCCTTTGCAAACATACAAGTGTAACACGTGTGTTAGTCCACAGGAGCTGTGATCGTGGTCTGTGAATTAATTCAGACTGGTGCCCAACAGGAGGAGGAAGCAGGAGCTTATCCCAGCTGAGAACGTGGAAACACAAGGAGGTGTGAAGACCACAAGGTAAAGGAAAGGAAGGCTGAAGCTTGACTTCAGAAAAACACCCTCACGTGATGAGAAGTAGAAAAACTGGAGGAATTTGAAACAGCAACGTCTCTGTAGATGTTAAAGAACCAGATGCACAGATCAGGCATTGGGTCAGGCCTGAAGAGTCAAACTGCATGTTTCAGAGAGTAAAATTGTTATTGCCGAGGATCTGCTGCACCAGCAGATGCAGCTGCATGTTTAATTTCAGGACTTTTACTTAGGACTAGCTCTAGTCTAGGCCTGTGGACTGAAAGCTTTGTAACAGCTGGAGTGCCCTGGGCTTGCCCTTGGAGGTTGTCCTCCAGTTTGGACTGAAGGAATCCAGTTTAAAAGCCTAAGGTCTCTTTGTGGCATGAACTGCAGTGTTCTTTGGCTTCAAAAGGATGTCCCTGGTCTGAACTCAAGCACTGATGAGGATGCTCTGCACCAGAGACTAACACAGTAATATCCACAGAAATGAATACAGGCTCTCAAGCAACATTTGTCAATGGGGGATGCAGATGATGCAAATTTTTATTAGTTTTTTGTTTCTTTTGTAATTATTATGCACCTTCTCTACTCTTACTCTGTCTCTAACCAGCCCTGGGGACCCCACAGAGACTGGGCACTTGACATTCTGCTTGGGAAAGTGTTGGGTGTTTGGATTCTTCTGAGGGAAATCAGAAAAACAACAACATAAAAATGCTTTTGAGTACTGATTTATTATAAATAGGGTACAAATACATCCATACTTCCCTAGCTATGCCGCCTTCTGGGAAAGTCCTGCATGCCTTTGCCTCAGCCAGGGACTAAGCTAATGAGCAGTGAGCACGTGTGGTGTCTTTCTGCAGGAGGATATGGGAATTTTTGCCTCTGTTTCTCCTCTGCAGTGTGTTCTGGTCCCAAATTCTCACCTCACCCTACCAGCACCATGCTGGTGAAAGGTCCTGCTCAGGTCCCAGTGCTCCTTCTGATTCCAGTGCAATTGAAACGAGGGTGGCTTGGCGAGCTCAGAAGCAGCTCATCCAAACCCAAACGAGACACCACCAACCTAAGCCAGGTGTTCATTTTTCCAAAGGGCCCTGTCTCACTTTGAAGTTTTAAAAAGTTTGGGTCTGGATACAAACTCATCTGTTTTATTTCCTCAGCACAAAATCCACCCCTCAACAGGGCACTGTAGGGAGCCTGGGATCTCAAGGTTGTTCTTTGACAGGGTGACAGGGAGGAGGGTTTGCCCCAAGGATCAGTTTTGGCCTCTAGAATTCTTTAAAGCCTTATTAACCACACGGCAATGATCCTCTCAGGCACATGGTGTGACTCTTGGGGATGGTCCTGTGCAGGGTTAAGAGCTGGACTCCATGATCCTTTTTCCAGTGCCCTCAATGAATGGACTTTTGGGTGTTTCATGTTATATCAGTGCCTAGAAAAGGTTATTGAGCTGCTCCTTCCCATGGCTTTCACACTCTCTGCTGTGACTGTTACCTCTGAAGATCCAGCACCACTTTCCCTCCCGTGGATACCACCAGAACCAAGCCTGAAAACAGTTTAGTCTTATTCCCAACATGTCCCTGCTCTGAGCAAACAGAGCTTGGTTTGCTCAGCTGGGAGAGCAGGAGGTTTTGGCAATGCTTAATACCCCCGATTGCCCCGTGTGTGGATGACACCCATCTGCTCTTTGGCAAACACAGCTCAGGGTCTCTCCTTGCTCCTGTCAACACCTCTGGTTGTTCTGGCTCCTTTGAAGACACTTATGTCTCCAGGCAGTTCCTCTCAGGCACATCATTTCCTTTTTTCTTTTTTTTTCCCACATGCAAAGACATGTTGCTAAACCCCCTCGTGCTTCTCTGTAGCTGTTACATTAACTAACATGCGCCAAAAAAATAGGAATTATCCCAGAAACAAGAAGTTCTTTGTATTTTAGCAGCTGATGGCCCACTGTCCCATGGACTCAGCACGGAGAAGGAGCATGTTCCTGCATGGTTGGCCTGCCATGCCAGACTTCCCCACTGTCTTGGATACAGATTCTTTGTCACTGCTGCACACAAATATAATTTCTGCTACTTGCAAACCCAGCCTGCCAGGGAAATATGGGACACACACTCCACAGGCAGGGATTTTTGAAGGATAATCATCTTGTCAATATTGTGTGTATTGGGCTTTTCCCCTCAGGTATCTTGAACTGCACTGTACAAAGTACCATTGTGTGTTACGAATTACTCTGCTTCAAAACCAGAGAAATCAATCATTTTAGTTCTGGTTCTGGGCTCTTCTCCTACCAGCTGAGAGTGAAGGCCCAGTTGTCTTTCCTCAGCAATAGCTGTTCTCCCCAAATTTTGTTTGTGAAGGCCATGTTTCCATGCAGTAGAAAATGGAATTAATTGTCATGCCCACAACCCCATCAAGAGCACTGGTCTCATGGCTAAGGCACAGCAAAGTGCACGAGACTCTCTTTTCTTACTACTCTGTCAAAAGCTTTCTGGGTGACACCAGCAAGTCATTTGACCTCAGTGTTCCAGTCGTGGGGTGTTTTTTTCTGGTACACCCTCATTCCTTCTGCCAGCTTTGTATGTTAAAATCTGTGTCCTTTAAGGTAAAAATGTGTCACTGCTCATGTGATGAAAACTCACTGCAAGAAGGCTTCAGACTCTCTGCAACCGTAGGTAACTCCAGGTTAAATTGTCCAGGCTCCTATTTCTTGGCATTCAAGACAAAGCATGGTCTATCCAGCTGCCTGAAAGACTTTGAAGACTCACATGGCCTTTGAGGTCCAGATCTATTTTGGCCTGCTTTATTTTTTCATGGATGTTTTGACGTGTTTGGAAACCGCCGTGGCTCGCGTTAACGCTCGACCTTGAAAAGGTTTTGATGCTCGAAACGGAAGAGCTGCTTACCTGGAATCCAGGAATATCAGCTTTAAGTCCAAGCTTGCTCTGAACATAAACATGTTGCTGTGAAGTTTGATCTCGGTGATTGCACTGGGAGGTAAAGACTGACCTACAGCCACCAGCCCAACGATTTGGTAGCAGGAGTCGTACAGAGACATATCAAGCATGTACTGGCGGATCTTCAAGTAGCCACTGCAGTGGATCACCTGGAAGGGGAAGAAAACACAATTTCTGATGGCAAGGCAGCCAACAACTCATTTTCAATGATTTCATAAAGCCACACACCCTTAAAACACTAAATTCTGCTTAGTCTGTTAAAGCTTCGGGGTTGCGGTGGATTCATAAATGGAGATCCAAACACAGTAAACACAAAATCTGTGTTTATTGCCCACATGGTTAATCCAGTGTTAAAGTACATGCTCTTGGGGGACTATCTAACTGATTTCTAGTTAATTTTTTCTTGTAGGTACAGACAGAACTCATGTTCATTGATAAAAAATCTGAAAGCTGCTTTTTTGAAATGACCATCTCTCACACACACATAAAAACATTTACATTCCGAGGAGTTATTCTGGTAAAAACCAAACACTTTAAAAATCCAGTGCATATTAATGCATCCTATTTATAAGGCTTGGCTGTTGTATAGGTAAATGCACAAGAAATGAGTTTTAAGTTCTCTGGTCATGTTCAGATGATATTCTCCTGACACACGCCCAAGCCCTGAGATCAGATTTCGGAATCCCTGTATACAATTCCTAATCACAGAGGTGATAATGTCAGTGTTAGGCTGTAAAAATTCACGATGTCAGCTAAAGAGGAGGGGAAAATGTAACCTGGGGACTATTCCAGAACATAAGATGGAATTTATGTAGTGCTGGTGTTTGGAAATCATTGGTGCTCCTGGCAATTTTCTACTGCAAGCATCAGGAATACACACACACATCCTTTAGCTTAATTTATCTGTTTGTTTGACTTTTAACTGTGTCTAATGGAAAGAAATTAATTTTCACTCTATTTACTATTCCTGAACAACCCATTAAACCTGTAAATAGGCTCCTCCTGTATAACCTTCCTTCCTCCTTTCCAATCACTAAGTGATTAATATATTTAGCAAAAGTACAATAACAAGAAAATCTTCTTTAAGATCTCTCAACAGATCTGAATTCCCAGATCACTTAGTCCATGAGTTTTTCCTGTGCTTCACCTTATAAGGTGATTTTTTAAAAAATTAAGTCCTGACTCTGAGTACAGTCAAAGGGAATAAATTTAGGTAAACTACTCTCTAGATAAATGAATCCTTTAATGTTTTACTGTGCAAACTTGTAATAGAGAGCAAAAGAAGGTGATGTCTCTGACTAGAAGAGGTAAATGGAAATTAAAATACAGAGATACCACCACTACAAGCTCTACTCTTTTACCTGATTTCACATTCAGCTCTGGGACAGGATCATTTTTGCTGGGAAGCAGCTGAGCAAACAGGGTTCATGTAATGAAGAATTATCAGTCCAACCAGGTAGGTAAATAAACAGACATATGGCTGCACTTTGAACACATTCCTTTAAGGAGCTCTGCTTCTCTTGCAAGCTTTTCTTTTTGGTTTGGAATAACTCAAACAAAAAGAATGCTCACCAGGCTGCATGTGAATTACCTTCCCTGATGGAGATAGAATTATTCTGTGTGGCTCCAAGAGCAGCAAACACACACTGCAAAGCTCGGGATAAAAACTACCTGCAAAGCTGAAAATAAAAACTACCTGAGGGGCAGCTGCTCTCCTAAAACCTCAGCATTCGCTGTGGCCTCTGATTTCATGTCATAAAGAGAAAAAATAATACAAACAGCGAGATTTCCAAACAGACTTAGTGGTTTAGTACAATTCAGCCCTGGGGTGATGGCCCTGGTTGTTTGGAATAACATTCATGTGGAGGCCAACGAGGTGACTTGTGCAACCGGGTGGCGGCTCAGCCAGAGGCTGAGGGATGTGGAAAGGCTCCAAATTCCTGTTTCTGGGTTCCTGCCTCACCTGCCTCCAGTTCCACAGGGGAATAAGACCTAGCTGTGTGCTCTCCTTGCAGCTCCGTGGCTGGGCTCCAGCTAATTCCCCAGCCTGGAAGAGATCAAGACGTGGGAATGTGCCACAGAGCAAACTCCAGCTCACTGTGAGAGAGTTTAGACTTCCATTACTAAGGGGATCTGCAATCAGGAGCGGGATTTTTTGGATCTTTACTGATTCTTGTCATCACAGATTTCGCTCTCATCTACATATATGTAAAAAAACCAAACAAACACAACTAAATAAATAAACTTGTCAACTGTTGAACAATTGAGGGGTGGAACAAAAAGTTTATATACATTACCTTGTATCCACTGCACGTCAATCCTGCATTCCTCTTGGCTAGGACACACTTCATCCTCAGGAAAAATGATCTCTCGATTTCATATTCTGAAAGGATAAACCACACTGCTTATTTATTACTGGGGATTTCCAAACTGCCTATAACATTCCCCTCGATGAGTTCACTGAGGTGTTTATGTCTCAGCCTCAGCCCTTCTGCTTCCCCACTCCATCTCTGCCCTCAGGATTTATTTCACCTTTGTGTTAGAATTCCCTGTGAAAGTTGGACAAGTCAACATGATAATGTCTCCAAAATTCTGGTTTTGCCACCCTTCACAAGGCACCTTGGTTTTGAACATCTAATACCAGTCCCTGTTGGTAAAGGGAAGGAGGAGTGTCCTTTGAAGTGTAGATAAATGAAGATACTCTCCAAAATAATAACAGAGTGGGAAGCAAGACAATTCAGTGGGTTTGGAATAAATTGAGTGTACGTAGCTGGTCATGCCCAGACCTTCTGGCCTCCATATGCAGCGTTATTACCTGTTTCACTGACTTCCAAAACCATTTTAGTAAGTTATTTTTAAACTGATATTGTAATGGATAACCTCCAGAAATGTTTCAGTATTTTTTATAGCTCAGGTAGGCACATATTTTCTGCCAGGAGTATGTTACTGTTATCTGTAATGTTAATTATTCCCCTTAACAGTTTCAGACACCATAAATAGTTCTGAGCTGTTTTTTTTTTTTACTGAAAATGCATTTTGGCAGAACACAACTATATAAAGACAAGAAAGAGAACTCATCTGGTACATCTCTGAGCAGGAAAATCAGGGAAACAGAAGAGTTCCCAGCTTTGTTGCAGTGTGTGTTTCCTCCTAACTCCCCATAAAGTTCCCACTGTCATCAGTTGGAGCCTTGCTGTGATTTAACTGCTCAGTTGTATTCCTGATTTTTGTGCATCCATCACCCAGTGAACCCCCTCTTGGCCACACACCTGCACTGGTTTGAGCCTCACACCACTACCTGGAAACCAACTCCCTCTCTATAATAAGTTCTGAGTTTAAAAGTCTGAAGATACAACCACAGAAAATGGATTTAGAAGGGAGGAAAAAGAAACACTTCCTGAGTATTTGAATTTTCCATTTATCTCCCTAATTCAAATTAGATCCTTATGGGGAAAAACAGGTACTTGAATGAATTGACACACCTGATGTGAAGTTTTAAATATAAACTTAGACTGTTTGATGAGAGGAAGGCACAGGGTACAGATTGTTACTGCTGAAACCTGATCTCATGAGGAAAGAATGGATCTGGACATTGGGAACATCAGTGAAGCTCATGGCTTCAATAGGGATGACCTCACACCAGGACAGGAGGGATATGGAGCTCCTGGAGTGGGTCCAGCAGAGGCTGCAGAGATGCCAAAGGGATGGAGCATCTCTGGGAGCAGGAAAGGCTGAGGGAGCTGGGGCTGTTCAGCCTCCAGAGCAGACACTGAGAGGGGACCTCCCCCAGGTCTGGAGGGGCTGCAGGGAGGGGGCAGAGGATGGACCAGGCTCTGCTCGGGGGGGCCCAGCAATGGCACAAGAGGAACGGGCAGGAACTGATGCCCAGGAAGTTCCACCTGGACAGGAGGAAGAACTTCTTTGCTGGGCAGTGACCCAGCACTGAACAGAGACCAGAGAGGGTGTGGAGTCTCCTCACTGGAGATATTCCAGAACCATCTGGACACAATCCTGTGCCATGTGCTCTGGGATGACCCTGCTGGAGCAGGGAGGTTGTGGGCCCTTCCAACCCTCCCCATTGTGTGATTCTGTGTCAAGGTGCCCAGTGAATAATGTGCAGGTGCTCCATGGAATCTGGTTTGCAGGGTTGGAGCCAGAGAACACAAAAGCCACCACAGTGAGATCCTTGTGAGTATGTTTGAGTGAGGGCATAAAATCTACGGCCAAACTTTGAGACTGACTCACTGGCAAGGGAAAGCAGAATCCCAGAATCATTTGGGTTGGAAAAGCCCTCCCAGCCCATGGATCCCCCCTGTGCCCCATCCCCACCTTGTCCCCCAGCCCAGAGCACTGAGTGCCACGGCCAGGCCTTCCTGGGACACCTCCAGGGCTGGGCACTCCAAACCTCCCTGGGCAGCCCCTGACAAGGCCTGACCACCCTTTCCAGGAGGAAATTCCTCCTGATGTCCAACCTGAGCCTCCCCTGGCACACTTTGAGGCCATTTCCTGGAAGAAGAGACTGATCCCCAGCTGGCTACAAGCAGGAGCAGGACATGGATGTTGTCCCTGGTGATCTGAGAGCTGTCAGTGTGTTTGTGGTGGCTGTCAAAGCTCTGCTGTCCGTGGTGATCTGTCCCTGGTGGGCTCTGTGTACCTGTGTGTGCCTACTGGGAATAAAACCATCTCCAGGCCTGATGGAAAGGTTGTAAAATACGAAGGAGCAACAAGACCAAACCCCTCACATAAAAAATTGGATGTGCAAGACCGTGAAGGGTGTGAATTAGTGTTCATATAAAATTAGTCTTCGTATTAACTGGTACCTTCACCAGTGTGACTCCTTCAGTACTCTCGAAAGTAGAAGGAGTGGGCAGAAAAGTAAAAAAGAACTGAATTAAATTTGCAGTTGTAAAGCTGAGAAATAAAAGCCCTGGTATCCTGCTGGATGATAACACAGCCATCAGTATAATGCAGAACTTCAAATATCACATCCAGGCTGTACCTGATGTAATTAAGATCATCTGCTCTGATGAAGAGGATGTGGAAAGAAAATGAGGTACTTAAAGGTTTAGCCAGCAGAGAGGGAGGCACTGAATATTCAAACAGGAGAAATCAGATGAGTTCTGAGCAGAGTGATTACTGAGGCAGCTGTCCTGCTGCAGAGGTTAATCACAAAATTGTGAGGAATAGGAGACGTGGAAACTCAGGATAAAGCAGGGGAAAGAAAGCCTGTGGCACAAATAGTGAGTACCTGCTCTAAAAACAGAACAGGGATGTCATGGGATGGAGCAAAAGTCTCAAATTAGGGAAGGCACAAAACTGGCAAATATAAAATAAGCACTTCAGGCTTAAATAAGAGGTGAATGTAATCAATTATTCTGAAAAGTTGTGAGTTTATCAATCGGAATGAAGTTTTGAAAAACTGGGAAAAAACAACAGCATAAAGCATCTTGGCCTACTAATGCAATTATTGATATCACTGGTGTTCTTTCAAGCAAAGCTGTGAGCACAGAGAGAATCCTTGGGCTATCAAGAAGGTTTGAAACAGAAAAGATACCAGTGAAGTGCTGCCAGTTCTTAAGTAACTAAAGATCAAGGGATCTGCGGATTAAGCACATAGATATGAAACTTGAGAGAGAGAATAATGACTAGGAAAATGTTATGATTAATAAAATGTCATGACTGAGCCAGAATATAAATAATACTGAAGGAAAATGGCCTTCTTAATTAGTAGAGAATATTCATAGCACCTAATAACTGAAGTTTAACCACTGCATTTAATTATTTGTATATATAATCTATGTAAATGTATTCGTGTAAGGGATGTTGACACATCTTTAAGTGTTAAGAAAATGTTCAAAAATCAATGTATAAACTATTTCTGTTCATCACAGAGAAAAGGTGAGACCAACAGGTTGCAGACATCCTTAAGGTCCTTTCCAACCCAACTGTTCTATGATTCCATGATTCTGTGGACTCAGAATCCGTATCCATGTCCAAGATGTCCATTTCAACTCCACCACTGTTGATTTTTTTACCAAACTCCACGTTTCCCACATCAGGTTATTAGGAGTATTTCTATTCTACTAATTATTCCTACATTTCCTGGCCAGCTCACAAAGCTCCCTCCCTCAAGCTCTGTTATGATGGAGTTTAGTAGATCCAATAAAAGCCATAAATGAGGCAGAAAATAAATGGCTTCATTTAAATCTCAGCCCAAACTTTTCCCTACATCCCCACAGAGCTGAAACACAGCAATCCATGAACGAGAACATAGAAAAACCCTGCTGGCTATGGACAAACAGAAGATGTATTTCTCTCTCAGGGCACAAAGTCCCATTTCTACAAAGTGTGTCCTCTCCAATAATCGCTTTTTTTTTTCCTTAGCTCGTCCATCATGCAACACAGTTTGACTTCAAGCACTGGGCAAGAATAAAACAGCCTGTTTATATTCTACAGATTTGTATTTTCACGCTGTCATAAACAGAATAAATGTCGTGGTAAAGGAAATGAGCCTTTGCTATTTCGGATGAAGAATCTGTGCATTTGTTCATTCCTGTTGCACGACTGCCAAGCAGGATTCTCCAAGCCTTTCTGTGAAATTATGGTTAGCTTTATGGAAGCCAGAATTGTCCATCCCTAGAGGAGCAACTATGAAATTCATCTTTGCTTTCAACTCCATCTTTCATCTATTTTGAAAGAAGGCAGTCACACAATTCTGTGGTTGCACAGTGGACTCAGAAAACAGTTCCTCGTGACTTTTTCCCACAGTTTCACCTCTCGTGCCTTTATTTTCCCTAAGGTAAAAGCTGCTATTTTACACCCCGTTTCCAAAGCTCTCAAGTTTTGACATGAGCAAAATATGACATCGTTTCGTTGCAGAATCGCTTTGTAAATGAACATAAACGGGGATGCAAAGTGCACAGTGCTGCACCAAGAGCTGTTTTAGGAGTGTGCATCCCGTCTGTCACTCCAAGAAAACTGTGAAGCAGCATTAAAATTGGGAACTCCAAACACAACTGATGGGTCAGATTTCAGCTCCAGTGCAGGAGGCCAAAACTGTTCTCAAGGGGCACTTTTAGAGCAGGTCACCAGATTCTGCCTTCCCTCATGGCCACCTTGTGTGGAGACACACACCTGCATCCTCTGGAGACAAGGCACAGGTGGGATAAGCTCCATCCATGTCCCTGCTGGACTGTTCTACAGGTGGAAACACAGATACCACAAGTTCATGTGTGGATGACACTTTTCTGCCCATCCCCCAAGCAGTCTGCGTATTTTTTTCCCTTTTGGTTGTTATTCAGTGGTTATTTCCATCTTACCTCCTCTGTTCTCAAAAGTCACACGTGTTCTACTCTTATTCTTGTGTGGTCTGCAAGGCATCTG